ATATATATATATATATATATATATATATATATATATCACCTCTACCATTCTATGTTTTTATCACAACAATTGATGCACTTTTTTAACTGTAAAAAGATTAACCAAAAAAAAAATTCTTGGAGAAGAACATAGCAAATGTCGTCCTTGTCATTCGATACTTCAGGGTAATTTTTAGGTGTAAAAAAATCTGTTAAAAAAATGATATGTTAGTGTCGTAATGGTAACAGAAAAAAAAAACAAAAACAAAAACCCCGCTCCATTCTTCGTCATTTCACTAAATTTACACCAACATCCAACTGTTGACCTTCGCTCAGTTCCCGGACTGGCCTCAAACACAAAAAATGATAAGCATTCCTGAAGAAGGAACAGCTTTATACTTTGTTTCTTCTCTACCCATCTTCATTGATACCAGCAAACAGCAGTATTATTGATCGTTTGTTGCCCTCTTAATTGAACGCCCTCTCTGTTTCTTTTGCTGAATGAATCAGGCGAACGACATCCCCCGCAGACCAGTCAGTCGGCTTAGCCGAATTAAGCCGTAGGCCGTCCTGTCGGCCGGCCGGCCGATCAACTAAGCAACTAGGCCAAACAGCTTGAGCAGCAAAAGCAACAGCAACAGCATCATCTTCATCACCATCATCGACAACTACCATTTGGCCGCTATCATCTTCTGTGGGCGCCACTACTATGATGAAAAACTGTGATAAAAAAGGTCACTTTAACCACCCGTACTAACCAGGCATACAATATGTTCTGTCGATTTTGTACACAGCTTTTTCAATTTAGCCAATCAACAAGTTGTTGTTTCTGTCATTGAGGCTCAGTTTTTGTATAGTCACCAAAGATTTTATTGCTGCATTCTATAAAACTTTAACTACTATCAAATTTCAGCAATAACAAACTTTAAAAGACCATTAGAAAGCTATAGAATATTGTTCCTAAAAAAAAAAAATTTTTTTCCCTCTTCTAGTTATCATAAATATAACTTCTGTTGTCATTGATAGTTTAGTGGTATTCAAAAGACTAGCTATTAGTTTAAGAGGAGGACCAAAAAAAAAAAGCAAGAACAAAACAAGAAGTACGTCCAAATACAAAAAAAAAGCGTCTTCAGATTATATATTGATCAAGTGGGAAATTTTAGTTTTTGATGATGATTCATAATTTTATTGACAAAGGCAGAAAATATTTAAAAAATAACTTACACCTAAGTTTTGCGTCTTTCTTTCACAAGCCAATCCTGTCCTTTTTTTCCACACTACCAGCAAAATACGAATATATATTCAACATGAATAGTATATCGGACAGCAATAAACGAACTCTATTACAGTCATCCTATTATAAGTCTACATTTTGATTCCTCTGATTAATTTATTTATAGAAAAAGACATTTAAAAAAAAAAAGAGATGAAATGAATCAGAAAACTTAGAAGAGTTAACTTAAATGCCATAAAAACAACAATAAATAACCTCGTTAACAACATAAACAACAAAAAATTACCTCTTGTTTATGCAGTCAACAAATGAGGTTATTGTTACCACATTTTGTTCAGAGCACAAATAAATTTTTCCTTCAAAAATACCATCAAAAAAAAAAGCGAAAAACGCGAAGAAGTGGAAAATTGTCACTATAAGCGGTTATAATTAATAATCATAAAATCCATTTAAATATATACATATATATATATGTATATAATAAATGGAATGTATGTATACATAAATACGTACAGTTTTTTTGTATACAGTTCCATCCAAACAAATATAACCTAGAAAAACTTCTTGAACACGCTAGCCACCACTTCAGCCAACAATAATCCTCAACAAAAACTGTTTCCGTTTCGTGACCCTTTTTTTCTTCTTCAGTTTGGTGGTGCAGTTGTTTAAATGCTTAACATTAACAATAAAAGAAAAGAGAAAAATCAAAGGTTCTTTTTTTTTT